ACAGTGGTACCATCCCCTTCATATTATAAATATCTATTGTTACTAATTATATGTGATATCTTACAAATACAGTAATTTTTGGCTATTACTGAGTATTACTTTGCTGTGAAATATTTTTCTTCGTCTCTGATACTGCTCTCTTTTTCAGAAAAGCTTCTAAACTTTTTAATAATTTCTGCAAATTAATGGATAAACTAGACTTCAACTTTTGAAGATGCTCTAAACCAGTGATTCCCAAAGTGGGCGCCAGCGCCCCCTTGGGGGCGCTGCGGCGATCCTGGGGGGCGGTGATGGGCTTTGGTGTATTTAGGGGGCGATGCTTAGTTGTGAGGGGCGTTTAAAGCACAAAACTAAAAAATATTATAATATTAATATTATATACAAATGAATGATTAAAATTAACACTGAATTATATAAAGATAATATTTTAGTTAAAGTTATTCAAACATATCTGCATAGGTGTATTAGTAAATACATAGTAGTTTTAAAGCTGTGCACCGCCAATTCTTGTTTCGCAAAAGGTTTAATGAAAAGAATGGTTCATACGTTTCTTTGTGTGTCGATATTTTGTGTAACTTTTCAAAAGCGTGTAACTTTACCAAATTTTGTAAAAGATTCTTTAAGAGATTTTTTGTAAGAGATTCTGTAAGATTGGCGGATATATATGATCACTATTTGTCGTGCTATTAATTATATTTCTTTGTTATCTACCCGTAACTGTCCACTCGAATGCCGCGTTTTGTAAAATAGATTTATCAGAGCCTAGTATAATTCTTTCGTTACCTAAAATTTCAAAAAACGTATCAACACCTATTAACATATCTACTTCGCACGGAATATCTAAGTGTGAATCCAAAAGTTTTAATCCATTAGGAAGATTTAGTTCAGAAATTTGGATTTGCTGCGCGGGTAGTAGACTCGATATTTTCGTAAGCACAAAGGCATTTATATTTTTTGCAAATATACCATCTTCATTAAATATTTCTAAATTTGTAAAATTATTCGATTTCGTTGAAATTTCAACAACACCGTGGAGTTTAGGCTCGTGAATTGAGATTTAACGCGTAATTTTTGTAATAGCGATTTTGATATTGTTTTAATTTCCAAGTCTAAATCCAATATTGCTTGAATTTTAACGCGACTGCCTTTATTACTTTTTGCAAAGAAATTTACCGTAGGTACGAGCGCACCCCCCGTCATTCCTTTTCCCTCACATTAAAATTATAATCGAAATACATCGATTGGCTTCTAAATTTCTAAAATCGGTTTATGCGTTTTTAAGCAAACATCGTTGGAAGTTCTAATTTTGACAAACGCCATAAAAACGATATCAATTTTTGCAAACTTTGACGAAATTTCAAAATTTAACGACTTGTCTTACGACCGTAATATTTTAGTATGTCAAAAAAAAAACATAAAAATTGTCTAAAAAATTACTTCTACTTATTAATTACTACTACTTATATTAATAAAAACACTTTATTACCAAAAACACGATCATTACCAAAAAATAACAAGGTCGATTCCCAACCAATATGTTTCGAATTTTCAGTTTTTGAATTTTCAAAATCGATTCAGAATTAAACGAACGGGCTAAAACGTGGACGAAATTTTTTTCACTTTTCTGCAATTTACAAAGAAACGGCTCGGCCGATCGTCGAACAAAACTGAGAAACGTTAGTCCTCACCGAGATACATCGAATGGCTTTTAAATTTTTGAAATCGGTTCAGCCATTTTTGAGGAAACGACGATTTACGACAAAAAATCTAAACACACACACACACATACTGCTTTCCAATTGTTGGTCTCCTTCGATTCAGAATGGCTTGAAACGTCGAGAAAACATGAAATTAGCGAATCGGATTTTTTGATGAAAACAAACTTCTCCTTGGGAAAGTTTGTAAGGGGGGCGCTGAGTAACATTTTTTTCTGGAAAGGAGGCGGTAGGTGAAATAAGCTTGGGAATCACTGCTCTAAACGAAGACGTAATATCAAGTTTCATAAAATCAAGAAACAAAATTAAATTAGTTTAGCACTCCTTTATTTGTATTTTATATTTGGTTGTTTTGTTATTTAATTGTAAAATTGTGAGTTGTATATCTAATACATCTAATACGTCCCGGTTTGGCCGGGACAGTCCCGGATTTGCACCTTGTGCCCCGGGTTTTTATAAAAGTAATAATTGTCCCGGATTTAGATATTTTGTCCCGGATTGTACCGGTTTTTCGAGATTTATAGGTAAATTACTTTTTTATACATTAATTATGATGAAGAAGGTGAAGAAAATTCTTACTGAAAGTCCGCAATAATGATCTAAAAAAAAATGATTCATATAATGAAACCTGATTTTTTATTGTTTCTTTAAATGACCTTTATCACTTTAAAGTCACCACTCATCCCCCGTCCCGGATTTTCAAAACTAACCCGAAACTAAAGTAACTGCCGTCCCGGTTTTGACTTGGGTCACCTTAATCGTTAACGTTTTGAATCTAATAATGCATAATCTTTTAATCTAATATTGTACAACGTAAATTTGGGACTTTAAATTCTATAATAGAGTTACTCCTGCTCAATTACATATTATTTTTCTTCAATGTGTAGTTTTCAACATTTCAAAAACATATTTTTATATTATAGGTATTGATCCGTTTTAAAAAGCTGCTTTGTTTCTTTTGCATTACTTCCGGAAGGAAAAGTTTCAGTCAGAAAATTTGATTCGTCAATTTTATCGGCATTATTTCGAAACGTTTTTTTTTGCCTTGAAGACTTTTTGATCAATTCCAGCACAAAAAAATGGGAGATGTACCTACGCATGTGTAAATGTGAATTTTGCAAAATTCAAAATTTATTAGATATATTTAAATAAATTATACTAATTTTCACTATTTTATCATCATCGAGAAAATAATTGTTTAGTAATTTTCAGTTGAAAGTATAATTTTTCTTCCGAGTTTGCTTAAATTTTTTTGATAAATTACAAAAATCCTTACTCTTGAATTTTGTGGATGTAAAATATGTTACGTATTCATTTCTTATATAATTGGAAATATCTCATAACTTATAACTAAGTTTAGAAAATGAAATTAAATTTGTTTTTGGATTCAGGACTATTGAAATTCAAATTTTATAATAAATAAATAATTATTGGCTCAATTCTGCAAATAAATTAAAATTCCTAACTAGCAATATATTTCACATTATATTTAATTATGCTAAATTATTCCAGTAGCTGATTTTTTTAAAATCCAAGAAAAATATTGATTGATTACAACATAATTCATTTATGATAATCAACTTCGAGAATGTTAATTTGTCAACAATAATGCAAAATTATAAAACCATAATTTTCAAATTAAATTCCATAAATCATATTTTGAAAATGCTTATATTATTCGTTTATTCATTGATTTCCATCGGACACGAAACGCGTGTATGCAAATGTAATGTAAAGATTGCAAATTAATAGTCCAACTTCCATTTCCGTTTCTATCGGTGTTTCCCATTGTGTTTTAAGAAGGCCGACTTTAATACAACGCTACATACATACTTTCTAAAAAAGAATAAGAGCTGTTTTGTTTCGCTGTGAATATTTTTCGTCGTTGAGTAGTTAAACGTTTTTTAAATGTTTCTCTTTTAAGTCGCGAAGGTCTAATAAGGAAAACGCACTGTAGGTGCAAATACGGTGCGCAGCCTATTTTTTTAAGTTTAATTATTTTTTATAATTAAACCACTTCTCATAAGCCTATAACATTTTAGGGGATTTATTTAGATCAACTCTATCACCATTTGAAGGGTCATCAATATCTCATGAGAGCAAACCTGATATCCTCCTTGTTAGAAAAAAATGTTTAATGATGAATTATTTCACATAAACACTAGATGTAAAAATTGTGGGCCGTAGTCTCTAATACTAGAAATTATTGATTTTCATCGGAAGTTTATGATTTCCCTATATTATAAAGTAAACACTTTTTTCATAAACTAAGATTTGTACTTCCACATTTGGCGACAAATTCCATTTTCGAATATCTCAATATGGAATCCCGTAGATTAGTTTTTGGTAAATATGGATTAAACCGTTTTTTCTTTCTCAGCTGATATTTTATTTCGGCAATTCGATAAGTTTCATTTTTAATTAATTATGAATAGTCTTATAAATCGGCTTAAATGTTTCTTAGTGGTTAAGTTCTCAGATTCCTCACCGCGCACATAAAGTAAATTTGTAAATTTTTTTTTAGCTTGTTTTTTATTCGCAGAAATGAAACATTTTTAAATTAAATTTGGTCTCTGATTTTTTTTGAATGTGCAATTGTGTTCTAGATCGTTTGCATTACAATTTCAGGGTATATCTGTTGCCGTAAACAAAACTTGAATGTTCAGGAACGCGTTAAACTATTGTCTGTGCCGATAAGTAAAACGGTTTAATAGTTCAGGTGATCAAATCTTAATAAACACATACATCTCTTAATAAAACTTTCTATAGTTAAGTTTGATTTTATTTTCGATAAAACTTACAAACTTATAACTTTTGTTCGACTCTTCTTCAGTGCAAATGCATACAAAAAAACGCAACAACTAACAATAATAAATAGATTATTTATATAATCATTTAATAAAGGATTATATGGATTTATTAAAATTTATATGATCATTAATAATAACGAAACAAATAAAACTATTCACTTGATTGACTTAACATTCCAACAAATTTTTATATGTATGTCTGCATTTTTTTCTATTATAGGTTATCAGATGCATCCTGGGCAAATACCTTTTTTCCAATAGAAATATTTGTAAGACAAACGATTTTTTAAAAACTGTGCTAAATGATTGCATTTGATATTAAAAGAATTTTAAAATAGTACTTGAAGTTAACTTATAGAAGGAAAAGTATCAAAAGTAAGTTGTCAAATGCTTTTCCATTATTATTAATTAAATTACATTTTGTAATCACTGATATACAATATAGGAAAATTTGTATAACTTATCACAATTAACTTTAATCTTTATTCTCAAGAATTTCATCGTTATCTTTAAATTTTGTTTCAGGTAAATCAATTACCTCTTTAGTTTTTAAGATATTAGATTCATCCGAGATTTCACTTTTGTTATCAATTGATTCTGAAAAATCTTCAATCTTTGTTTTAGCCTTGCTTGTATCAGATTTTATCTCTTCAGAATTTTTTTCATTGTTTTCCAAAATTTGTTCAGTATCTTCACTTTTTTGTTCTTCATCATTATCACCAAATATTATCTCTTCAGGATCTGGTGCCCTTGGCAAAAATTCACAATCGGGGTACATTCTCAAAAATATTTTTCGGGCCTGTAACAATATGATACATTACAGAATATCAGTTAACTACTCATATTATAAAACATTATTGTAGATGTTTTTACAATAAACAAATGAATGCAAAAACATCTTAAAAGAATTATTTGTGTACCTCATCCACAGCATGATCATAATCTAAGTCCAAATCAGGACCACTACATAAAAATATATTATCTGGAATATTCCATTTTGAAAAATCACACTCTGATGTGTCTGGCATATTAAAATATAAAGACCACAAGCAATTTGGACGATCTTGCTTCAACTTGGCGTCATTATTTGTTTGGTTTTCTTCAACATCTATATTTTCTTTTACTTGAACTTCTTCTTTATTTTCATCCGATTTTTCAGTTTTAATTTCATCAAATTTAGGATTCATTTCAAATAATTTTTCAGCTAGTGGTTGCAAATCAGAATAAGCACCCTTTTGTTGTCGACAGGTCATGTGCACAAGGTCTGAAATAATTATAGTAAATAGTAAAGGTATAATTAAAAATTCAGGTTTTTAATATGACAAAGAAAATCTCATGTTTAAGTCCAATAATAAAAATTGTTAATTTATTATAGAGTTGAAATAATTATAAAATTCAGATTGAAAATGAATCCTGATATAGATAAAATATTAGTGTGAATTTTTGAAAGTTTGAATGAACAAATGCAATGGAAATCATGCGTTTAAAACTTACATAGACCATCTGGGCATACATAGGAACTTTTTCCAACTTCCAAAACAACGGTTTCTATAAAGTCTTGTATTGGTGGAATTTTCAGCAATGTCAAGCTTTCATGCTCATCTTCTAACACTGAACAATCTGTTATAAATATACCTCTTGATAAACCTGATTTTGATATTTTTTTATTAAATTCCTCTGGAGCAAAACCAGCCCCCATAACTAAATTTTGGGATTTTAAATTTTGATTGCCGCATGTTATTTCCTTATACTTCATTGCCACTTTTGATTCGTTATTCAGAACACTTTCTTCTGGCTTATCAATATTATCTTCAAGAATAATGTTGCTTACAGGTCGCTTTAAACAATAAGTACCACCAAACACAGCACACAACCGGCAAAAATATTGTGAAATTTCACCATTTCCATACATAGGATATAAGAATGGGGTGTTACCATAATATCCAAGACTAGATAAAAATCTTTTTGTACGCATAATTCCTTCATGACATCCAATTTCAGAATTTCCCATTGCTATTGCGTACAAAACATAATGAATCAGATTATCAGTAAGCTTTTTATGCTTTAAGTAACTTAAAAATGTTTTGTCTGCAAAATCTGAAAAATAGATAGAAAAAATATTGATTAATGAACAAAATTATTCTGAGTTGAGCGCAATTTTTTATGAAATAATGCTAAATACAAACCTTTAAATTCAGTATTCTCATCATCTGGTTTATAAGTAATACAATTATTTAGTAGTTTCATAAGCATTCTCTTCTCAACAACATTGACGTTTTTCGAAGCAAAAACATCAGACCGAGAACAAGGTACTACTGATAATTTAAACTTTTTTTCTAAAGAATTAAAAGATTCACATGGCAATACAGTAAGTACTCTAGTAACTGAACGAAATTCAGCATATCTTGATATATTAGATGTTATCAATAATTGTATTAGATGACCTTTAAAAAATAGCAACTTTGGAGAGAGATCTATATTAAATTTTCGATATTCTTTTAATATTTCGCTTTTCTTCCATTTGTAACTAATTTGATCATCTACATGCCATTTTTGCACAATATTATAAATATCATTGCCATCTTTAAGATGGTATTTGGTATCGTTTTCAACAACACACTTTTTTTCAACAGATTTACTTTGTTTTTCTAAATATGTTTGAAGATTATCTAAATTAAAACTAGCCCAATCGCCACCATAATATTCATTGCCATCTAAATGCAATACCGATTTACCAATCCTACTTGCAGCAGCTGCTATTATTGATTCACAGAGACCTGTTTAAGGAAATATATTTTAAATATAAAACATATAAGGTGATTGCATTAAACACAAAATGTGGCGCTTACCAGTTCCAATAATAATTACATCATATTCGTCTGGCAGTTCTTCCATGTTGAATTATAATAATTGAATAACTTTATTTGAAAATGATTGGCACTTTTTGCAAAACTAATTAAAATTGAAGCTACATAGCACCACTAGATTTTAAACTTTCTGTTCTGTTGACTTACTTTCATATTGACATATAGAGAATTATGTTGACGTATGGTAAAGCTGTCAAATAAAACGCAATAATATATTCTTGAGTTAAATAAAGAACATGGATTACATGAAAGAAGATTAACAACATAAACAAAAAAATATTAAAAAACTAAACAATATTTTTTATTTAAATTTATATTATGACACGTGTTATGTATAACATGAATTTGCTTGCTAAATTAGCTGAAATCAATATTAATATTATTGATAAAATGTTATAATCTTCTTTTATCTACGATTATAATCATAATCACATACATAAAAAAAGATCCTAATCATAGATAAAAGAAGAGTATCCTAATCATATGATTATAATATGTTAATAGGTAATATGTTAATAACTCAAAACAAATATTATTTATTGCTTTTATTTACAAATTGTTTTTATACTATTTATTGAATAAATAGGAAAAATTATTTTCAAATGATATGCTTTATCCATGATAACTCTATAATCCTAGTTTCAAACTTAGTACCTGACGTTGGTACCTTTTACTACTGACAGTTACGAAAAACATCCGTGTGTGGTAGATACTGCCGTCAGCAAAAATAAATAACAATTATAAAATAATACATTAATAAATATTCAGCTGCCACAAATTTAAAAATACAATTAATTCTGAACACGGGAAAAAATTTTATTTCAACCTATTAGAATGTCATTTAAATATTATAATGTAAAAAGGTGAAAAATTTATGAATGACGTGTACCTTTCCCACCTGCGTGAAAGATTTGAATTTTGATTAGGACAGGTAATTTTGGCAAATTACCCTGATTGATATGAGACAATATTATAAACTTTTATTATATAAGTCTTAAATTATATTATGTGAAATTTACAGACGTAAACAAATAAAATGAAAGAGTTGCGCAAACGCCAAAACTATGAAGAGTCTAATATGGAATGCGGTGATCATGTTTTCAAAAATGGAGAAATTAAAAATCATAATAATTTAAAGGGAGATAGAGCAAATATAGCAATATTATTTTTTCTATATTTGTTACAGGGTATACCCTTAGGGCTAGCACATGCAATACCAATGCTTTTACAGAATCATGGTGTTAGTTATAAACAACAGGTATGAAATTAAATGACCTGCATGCATATGAATTAGAAGTATGATCTATATAGTTTTAATTATAAATTAATCATCCACATTTTGCTATTCAGCTATATATTATTCTTTATATTTATACTTCTTTTACAAATATAAAATAAAATAATTTCTCACTGTTATTTTCTTTGCTGTTTAAATATTTCATGCTGTATTTCATGCTTTATAACACCAGTTTATTTTGTTGTATTTTGCACATTTTCAGGCAGAATTTAGTTTAGTTAATTGGCCATTTAGTTTAAAACTATTATGGGCCCCAATAGTTGATTCAATATGGTCTACAAGATTTGGTAGAAGGAAATCATGGATGGTACCTTCTCAATATTTAATAGGGGCTTTTATGCTAATCTTATCTGGAAATGTAAATAATTGGCTTGGCATTGATGGCACCGAACCAAAAATTGCCTTACTGACTGCAGCATTTTTTGTACTTAATTTCTTAGCTGCTACACAAGATATTGCAGTAGATGGATGGGCATTGACAATGTTAAAAAGGTGGACTAATATGAATGTACCTAGAATAAATTGCAATTTTAATATTACTATTAATTTCAATGAGGTGATTTAATATATTTCAGGTGCAATGTTGGTCATGCTTCTACATGTAACAGTGTAGGACAAACAGCAGGATATTTTTTAGGATATGTTGCTTTTATGGCACTAGAATCTAAAGAATTTTGCAATAATTATCTTCGAACAGTTCCAAGTGATGAAGGTTTAGTCACTCTATCAGGTATTTCAATGAAGAAATAAATGTGTCAAATTTTATTTTATATTTGTTTAATTTCTTGAAAGACTAGCATCATTTTGATTCCATAGGTTTCTTATGGTTTTGGGGGATTGTTTTTTTAATTTGCACAACCCTAGTGGCCTTATTTAAACGTGAAAATAATATAAGTACTGAGAAAGAAAAGGGGATCAGTTCTGGTCAGAGTATAAGCACCCAAGATTGCCAACCTGAATATGATATTCGACAAGCTTATTCACTTTTATATGACATTTTAAAATTAAAGCCCATTCGATCATTAGCAGTTATTTTATTAACTGCCAAGGTATTAGAATCAAAATGAATAATAAAACTGCTCTGTTGTGATGACTGCGAGTTTGTTATTCTAGGTTGCATTTTCTGCTTGCGATGCAGTTACTAGTCTAAAATTAGTGGAATCAGGCGTTCCTAAGGAGAAATTAGCTTTATTAGCCTTACCTCTAGTGCCGTTGCAGGTAATAAATTCTTTATTTTATACACATACATGCAGTCAATGTATGTGTGTATATATCACTTTAAATATTAGACTTCAGCTCATATAATTATCTTTTGGACAGCACCCATCATATAATATAATATAAGTTAGGTAAAACTTACATAAGATTGCATTTGCAGATTGTGCTTCCATTAGCAATATCTCGTTATACAACTGGTAACCGGCCTATGAATGTTTATTTAGCTGCTATTAAGCCTAGATTGGTGTTTGGATTGGTAGCTGCTGGTTTAGTGTATATAACACCATTAGTTTTAACATCTGATGGACAAGTTCCATACTATTATTACTGTCTATTATTGATCAGCTATTGTTTCCATCAGGTAAAACATATATTTTATTTAATGTAATAAATATATGTTTTATTCAAATTTAATTCCTTTTTTGCAGGTGACACTATACAGCATGTTTGTAGCAGTGATGGCATTTTTTGCTAGAATTTCAGACCCATCAGTAGGTGGAACTTACATGACCTTACTAAATACATTAACAAATCTCGGAAATAGCTGGCCAGCAACTTTGTCCTTAGCATTGATAGATAGTTTAACTTGGAGAGGTTGTGATATATTACCAGATAATGGTTGTGATAGTGCCACTGATAAACATGTAAGTTGAAATGATATAAATTCATTCTTATAGTTTTATACTTTTATCCATCATAATTGTGGAAATCCTAAAAATATTGAATATTTATTTATGAAGTGATTTAAAACATTATAAAATTCTGCCTACTATGACATTGCACAATTAATGCAATAAGTTATAAATTAATATAACTATAGTTATATATTACCTATAGTTACTTGTATGTGCCAATACCAATACAATTTTTAGACATGTGCAGAAGCTGGTGGAAAGTGTAATGTATTCCTTGATGGTTACTATGTTGAAAGTTTTGCTTGCATAGTATTTGGCTTGTTCTGGCTGAGATGGTGTTCAGGAAAAATAAAACATTTACAAAATCTTGATATCCATGCATGGAAAATAACTAGAAGAAAGTCAGGGAGATCCAGATAACATCAGAATATATTAAAAAATAATTGTAAATATTTATTTTATGTTACCTAATAACTATAAATGAAAAATTAATACCTATGACAGACACGCAAGTCACAAATCAGACAATTACAATAAAGTTTTATCAATCACCAAAACCTTGCATATTTTATAACTGACTTTTTAATCTTAGATATTATTAACATATTATATATTAAGTAATTTGTGAATAGCTAAATACATTTTTATAATGTTTTAAAGTATGTGGCACTGAGTGTTGTACAAGCTTTAATTTGTTGATATGTTTGTATTAAATACAAATTTCCTACAAATCAAAAATTTATTTCCTTCTTGCAAGAATTAGGTAAAATAAAGAAGATTTATGTATAAAACCAATTCAAATTTGTATATGATCCCAAATATATATCTTTTCTGGAAAAACTCACCAATTGTAGAATATTAACCAGAAGTACCGGAAGAACAAAAGCAGTGCAACTCTTATAGATGGAAGCAGATTTTGTTTTTACCTTAAAAGATATGCACGTTTTAAATAAATCTCCAATATCTTTCTGTAAATATAAAACAAGGTAATAAAAAATTGGAAATATTTCATTATAAGAATTTATAACCAAATTAATTTTATAATTACCTATACAGTACTATAAGATAAATAGCAATACGTCACAGTGAACTCATAGGCCAACAACTGAGCTACAAAGAATCTATCCATATTTGGTATGAAATCCTACTGTTTACACAGTTTTGAAATAAGAATCAATAACAACATTTTATACAACTTTTTAGTGATATATTATCAATAGCACAAAAATGTGTTTTACACACAATAAATTATGTTATTTCATATGAATAACTACAGGAAACATGCATTTTTATGGGACATAGTTCTATTCTGCACCTATTAAAAGTGTAAATTATGTTTTATTGCTTTTTGGAAATAAAGCTGTTTTTAGTAAATTTTTTCATCATAAAAAATTAAAACATGGTATCAAAATAAAGTAAGTAAAAAATAAGAAAAATGCATGTTTCCCATTTTGATTACCAAATGAAAAGTATATTGTTGTTTCACATAAAGTGTTAAAATCACTATCATAAATAATTAAGCAAATAACTTAACATCTAATGTAAAAAATACATTATATACATTTGAGAATATGACTGAAGAAAAGTTAAGCAACTTCAAATTTAATGGATTTTTAACTATGGTTTAGCAATTAAATCTTTGGTTTCTCCATTCGCTTAGTTGATTCATTAAATTATAAATAAATTTTATTTACAGAATGAAGCCAAAGAAATTATGCCTTCCATGTTCAAATATCATATGACAAAGTTTCTTTTGTTATATTAAACAAATTCATTTATAGATTTCATCCTAGTAAAAAATACCTTTTAAAGATAAAGTATGCCTAATACAATTTAAACAATCAATTTACACTAACAATGCGTAACACTTAACATTAATATCAATCCACAATAAGTGCTCTTAACACAACTACTAATGTCGCAGTAAACAAGCAAAGGACTTCATAACAATGTTGTTCCAATACCGCATTTACATCCTATATATTAATATATATTCATATGTAACAGCACTTCATTTGAAGTTAACTTAACTTTAACTAATTGTAATGTATTATATACTCTATATTTAAACATGTAGAAAAAATATACATATAATAGTAGACCAAAATTATGTTTTAAAAGCCAAATAAGTGAATCAGGCATTTTATAAACTATTGATATGACACGTTTTTAACAATAACCAAAAACGTTTTATGGGAGGTGTTGCTAGTTAATTTACACAAATCTAACACAGTCTAAGTTACAATTTTCTTTATATAACATATATGACGATAGAAACTAGGCTTGCTCAAATTATTTTCTTACATTACATTACTTAAAAAAGAAAACCAATTCTCAATTATGTAAAAAAATACAAACAGAAAAGAAATAGTTTTACATTCGTATTTAAAATATCAATTAATATATTGAGCAATTGTTCAATAAACTCTAATTATTATTAAATTACTCGTTTTCAAAGATTCCAAACTATTTTATCATAACAGCAAAAATATTAAGTGAAATGTTTGATATCAAGAAAAAAAAATGTTATCCAGATCATAACATTGAAATTAGCATATATATTATACACAGAAAATGTGAAAATCATGCCTTAAATTATAATAAAATATATAATATAGAAATTCAATATTTACATTTAGTTTATTAAAAAATAATAGGACTACTGAAAATGAACCATTTCATTTTTATAAATTTTTATCACAACTGCTCATTATCAACTATAATACGAAATATCACACAAGCAGTGCGTGGCTACATATATACAAGTCGAAAGTATAGTTGTAATTAAGTATATTTATCAAACAAATATTTCTGTGAGATATTTGAATATCTATATAATTGAAAATAAATAGAAGTTAAATTCATTATGTAGTCGTTAACAATATATATAAGCTGGTACATAATGTTATGCACCAACGCTATACATTGTTTTAAATCCAAATTGTTAAAAAATTTGCTGTTAGCTTGTAATCAAACTAAACACATTATAGAAAAAAATTACGATATTAAATCATTGGCATTATGTTGCGATTTGTCAAATATCTAACAGCAAAAACAATTAATATAGTGAACCTACATATTATAAAGTCGATATACAAACATGTTATCTTATAGTTCTATGAACAACCCTAACTTATTATAGAATTGGCGAATTTGTTAGAACAAAGCATCATATATGACCAAATTCAGGTATAATAAAAAAAACTGTATGTATGCTATATGTATATATAGCAATTTACTTCATTATTTAATTTAGTATCCATTGTTTTAAAATCTATATCTATTTATCCAAAACTATTTACAACGTGGCTTTTTACTAAACAATATTCATAATAAAAATATGATATATAAAAATATATAAAACTATATACATAAAAAATAAATAATACATAAAACTATCATATTCTATTATAAAGCTGGCGTTAGAAACCTGAAAGAGGCATAATTATATATCAAGTTCAAACTTTGGTCACATATGACGATCAATTTCAACTTACCCCCAAACTCAATAATATTTTATAATTTGAGCTTTATTTAATATCCTAGAGCATTCCAAAACCTTTAGAATAGCTGATGGCTTTGACTAGTCTGTCTGCCAATTTCTCTTTAGTTGCATATTCAGGCAATAAAAGAACATTAAAGCAGGTATGTGAGGTGGGAAGTCTATCAGAATCAGAACCATTTTTGGCTATTATCATTTTCAGTTTACTTAAACCACCAATAGGCACTCTATCTGAACCCGTTGTGAATTGAAGAAGTTTTCGTTTGCTTTCAATATCAAATGAGTGCACTACGGACCAAAAATTGCGTATTACCTGAGATTCACTAGAATATCCACCTTCATATTCTGTAGCTTCTTCCAGCTCATTGAAATTGAGCACCTGAAAATAAGAAAAGAATCACTAAAGGTCAAAAGGTACATAAATAAAAGCTGTATGCTGTGTATAATTATCTACCACGGCTCAAAAACAAAAATTATATATCTAGAGAATAAGAACAATGAATAAAATAAAGGGAATGGTAAAAGCTTGCCATACCTTGCTTCCACAAACCAGTAGCTCTACTTCCTCCGGTCGGAACAGCAGTCTTAAAGGTGATTCATCTGTAACTGTTTGAAAACCTCTTCTAAATGCACTGAACTGTCTTTCAACAGATTTATTTAGTAAAAAGTCCGCATAAAGATCCACAAATTCCTGTAATAAATTAACCATCCAATAACTGTGTTAACAAAATTGTATACTTCACTAACTTTCAATTGTAATTCAATATTTCACTTTAATTAAATTTACATATTGAGTATTGTTGAAAACTTTTTATTACCTTTTTGTTATGCTGACCAACTGGAATTCTATCTCCATTTTCTTTAAGGTCATGTAATAAAGCATTTCCAAATACATCCCTGTGACATATCTGAAAAGTCTGCATAAAGACTTCCTCCATATCATCTTCTGTGTAATCAAGCATTTCTTTCAGTCCTTGATATAACGACTAAAAACCAAAAATCAGTTTTAAAAAAATATGTGCAATGGCATTAAACATGGAAAATGTTTGTTCAAAATATTTGTATAGACTATTTACAACGTGATAAAAGTTAGAATGTAAAATACTCACTGGATCCCAGTCCTCAAGATCAGGAAATGATCCCCTGATTCCCATAAGTTTCCTATATACTACCATAGGAAATCCAACTGACAATATCACATTGTTATATATTGCTAAACCTATCACTATGCCTATCAAAGTATATTGAGCATCACTTTCAAAGGGCGATGCATTAAACCTAGAAAATAACAAAATGGGCATACAATAAAATAATAATGATAAATATATTTATTTGTAGGCATCACAAAATAAATTAGTAAAAAATGTTTCAATGATTTGCTGCTTGATATGTGTCATCATATCAAGTGTCGGGACGATATCTTTCTTTTTATTTTCATCATATAAGTCTTTAGCAAACATCATAAAAATAACTTCCAAGGATTAAGTTGGATTCGATTTTAATCATAGTCAGTGTTGTTTGACCATTTTGAAAAATAGAATATAATTGAGAATCACTATAACCAGGGCCGGTCCAGGGCGGGTGCGACATTGCGACCGCCAATTTCAATGACAAAGTAAGTAATGTAAAAACAGTTGAAAATAATAGAAAAAAGGGGGCGCCAAGGAACAAATGGCATGCAGGCGCTGAGGACTGTCTTCTTGTTGTCCCTGACTACAACTGAATGTATGGCGATTATTTTGGTAAACAATGCTATTATGCTCAATATTTATAGTCGCAAAAAATCGAAAATAAAATTTTTTATATATGTTTACGTTTCAAAGGTTTTTGAACTTTTTGGCATACCTTAAAAAAAATGGATGTATGTGTGTGTGTGTGTGCGGATACAAATTTTCGTCAATGATT